AAAAAAAACTTCCAACAGATCTCAATAACCTTTTAATTAATTGTACTAAATAAATAAATATGTATTTATTAATAAATAATATTTATTTATTACCTTCTAAACACAGTGGGGGGGGGACAACAACAAAAAAAACAGTTCTTCATCTTTATTCTTGTTTTCAAATGCAAAAGCCTAAAGATTCCTAAATTAAAATACATTTACTTGAGAACCAAAAAGACCAAAAAAGAGTTTATGATTAAAATAAGATCTGTCTATGGGCTCAGAAAATTCAACTTAAAAGTGAAAACAAGTTTTCATTCCTCACTGACAGATATTTGTTCTTGTTTTATGCATAAACTCACATAATTTTGTTTAATTTCTCAGAAAACAAGATGTTTAGATATTTGTATTGGGAAAAAAAAACAAAAATACTGTGCAAAATATAATTTTTTTGCAGGGTATGCAACATGCCATGACTATGAATGTAATATTTTCCACTCTGATTTAAGACCTTTTAAGGTCTTCATTTTGTGGAAGGGTGAATTAAGACCCGCAGAAACCCTGTTAGCAAATAATGGCCATGTTGAACTAATCCGTTCCCTAGTTTTAATTCATTCAAATCAAGGTAATGAATTAGAACAACATGGCCACAGTTTACTAAAACAAGGGAACAAATTCTTAATACACCCTTAAAAATGCTGGGTTAAATACAGCCCAGCGCTGGGTAAAATTTGGACAAACCCAGCGATTGGGTTGTTGTCAACCAACAGTTGGGTTAAATGTTTAACCTAACCTCCTGGTTAAGTAACCCAACCGCTGGGTCAAAACAACCCAATCGCTAGGTTTGTCCATATTTTACCCAGCTCTGGGTTGTATTTAACCCAGCATTTTTTAGAGTGTATCCACGTTATGGGTGGGACTCCAAACAAATGCTGTTTTTGTCAGATTTTGCTCAAAATGACGTCACACCCTGTTAATCTTTGATTTCTCTTGAAGTGCATTAGGGCCTTTATCTCGTTTGCAGCCAGAAAGCGAGCGGTCCTGCTCAAGTGGCTCAAAGCAAAGAGTGTTTACGCTGCATCTGAGATCGTGACTGTTTATTTATGGGCTTCACTGTGAGAGCTTCAATTGGAATTTTCCCCCAAAGGAGCTTCCAACGTGTGAAAGGAAAACAGAGATTGTGTCGGGTTACGGGCTCAGGGTGATGTGTAACTTTAGCGACTGAGAGGCTAAAGGCGAAGCTTAACTACTTAAACTTAAGACTTAAACAATAGAAGTGGCAGAAAAGATCCAGGACAACAAAAAATGAGCATACTTAAGATCCAACTTTTGTTTTGTCAGACAAACTCAACTTTAAATGTTGGAAAAGCTGACATTACATATAATATTAAAGTCCATTTTTTGTTCATTTAGTTTGAGAACTTACAATGTCAAGTTTAGTGGTGAGGGTCCAACTGAAAAAATACTGGGTATGCTCAGTTTGATCAGCGTTTATGCACTTGAATAATTTGTATTTTTAGTCAAAGCACAGGGAGTTATAATAACAAATATTTGTCATTCAGAAATATCAGATGTTTTAGCTCTATGTAGTGTTTTTGATAGTATTTCGTCATTAAATGTATGTTTCAAGTCACCATTAGAGTGATTCTTTTCAGTAAGATTTTTTTCCATTTCAGCACATATACACAACTTTCTTTGGTGTATAGAAGTAATTAATATTCTATATTTTCATATTTATCTGTATCTGTATCTGCTCAACAAATTGATACACAAGTTAGATAAACTAAGACAATTCTACACCACTAATACTTACATTAATTTCAAATGCAAGCTGACTGAATAATGATCTACAATTGAAAACATTAATTTTGAGTTCATAGAACATATATGTGACCCTTGGACCACAAAACCAGTCATAAGGGTACATTTTTTGAAATTGAGATTTATACATCATCTGAAAGCTGAATAAATAACCTTAACATTGATGTATGGTTTGTTAGGATAGGACAATATTTGATACAACTATTTGAAAATCTGGAATCTGAGGGTGCAAAAAAATCTAAATATTGAGAGAATTGCCTTTAAAGTTGTCCAAATGAAGTTTTTAGCAAAGCATATTACTAATCAAAAATTACGTTTTAATATATTTACGGTAGGAAATTTACAAAATATCTTCATGGAACATGATCTTTACTTAATATCCTAATGATTATTGGCATAAAAGAAAAATCATTAATTTTGACCCATACAGTATAATTTTGGCTATTGCTACAAATATACCCCAGCGACTTTAGACTGGTTTTGTGGTCCAGGGTCACATATTGCGTTTGATGAAACTTTACATTGTAAAACTGATACAATGATTTTTCCATAAATTGAGTAAACTTAAAAACTCCTGATGATGGTTGCCTGAAGCTATTGAGTTTTTTCAACTTCTGATTTTTTTTTTTTACAGGTAAAACGCCTCTTAAACCATCATCTGGCAAGCACAGTCGCACTGTACCAAACGGAGGAGAGGTGGCTTGCTTGGCACGCCGTCCCGGTTCAGGAAAGGGTGCATCAAAGCCACATGGGGGTCAGACTTACCCCCTTCCTGGGGACACAGTGGCGATTGTTCTCCAATTAATCCCAGCCTGCTCTATTACTTTCAGATTATCTTTAAGTGGTTGAAGTCTTTGAGGTGAGGCCTAATCTCTCCCGCACTTCAATGGCCGCCGTTGTATCTTGTCTGCGCGGGGAAGGCGAAGGGCTTAGCGGTTCTTAGAAGGTGGTCCGACACGGGACAGTGTGAGAACTCCGGCCCAGGCAGGGACCACAAACACCGGCTCAAAGCTCTTAAGCGCACAGGGGGGACAAATAAAAGGATTTGAGCTTGTTTTTGGGGGGTGAAGGAGCTAAAAAGCTATCTTTCATAATCCTTCTGAAAATAAGCCTTTGAAATGCATGATCGGGGTTGAGCTTTGCTCTTTGGTCGGTGTTGCACCTGGGTACGAGGGTGGAAACTGTGGAAAGTCGGTAACCTTGCGAGGAGCCACAGGGAATCGGCGGTCCGGAACTCTAACGTCATGTACGTCGCTGACGAGCTTCTCACCACACTGGCAAACATTTACAATGATCAGTACTAATCACCTGAAACATAACGATGCTTTAAAAAAAAAGGTTTTTATGAGGAACTAACTAAAAACATTTTGTAGCTTTTCTAGTAACTTGCTTTTCCAACGTGTGATAAAATACTACATTGCTGTTGAGTGAGAATGCAGCTTTACAGCCAAGCAAACGTCGCAATCTCGACACCGTTTTTAAACAGTTTCCCCAACAATGAAAAAGACAAAAAATTTAACTCACCCCCTTTTGGAAGTCAAATCCAGGAGATATAAGAGAGAGAGAGAGAGAGAGAGAGAGAGAGAGAGAGAGAGAGAGAGAGAGAGAGAGAAATCTATTAATGAACAAAATTACAATGACAAAATTATAGCAAGTGTAAATTGTCATTCAAGACTTTTAGAAGTTTTGTGTATACTGTATCACCAGTCAAGTTTGGAAACATCCGCTCCTTTAATATTAACATTTTTTACATTTGACATTTCAGAAGATCAGTGAAGTCAATAAAACTATCAAATATCACAAAGTGGAAGGTTATTATTTAGTGATTTAATGATTATGCCACTCGATCAATGTTGCAAGCTTCATCCTACTTTTTAAACAGTATTCAAGGAACTAAAAAAAAAATTTATATATTTTTTTTTACATTTTTTAAATATTTTATAATGATTGATTGAATTTTGATTAATTTATTTTTAACTAATTTAATAATATAATGTATTAAAGTAATCGTAATTCATTTATTAACAATTAATTTTTGTTAATTTATTAATATACTATAATTTAAAATATTTATTTTGTGTTTAAATTATTTAAAATTTAGAAAATGTCACAAATTCATTTCCATCTCATGTTGAGGTTTTTAATATCATGAAAAACATTAATTCAGACATACATGTCTAAACTTATACTGTAGCTTTTACTGTACGTGCAGTGTTGTATGATCGGTTGCAAACTTACTGAGGTGAAGTCCTATTTTGTTCCGAGCATGTGAAAAGACCAAGAAACATTCATTATTAAAACTGAGCTTATGATATGAGACGCATGCATTCAAATTACATTCATGTATTCCGGCGGAGAGGGACACATAATGCAACACAGGACACTTAATGTGAGTATATACTGATGATATCTACCTTTTT